ACAATAATCCACCGGTTTCCAGAGCGACTATATGGGAGGGGGCCATAGAGATCGATACCCCCGCGGTCGAATGGGCGAGCCGGGCATGGGAGCGGCTGTAACATGCCAGTAAGGTGCCGCGGAGGTGTCTTGTTCTGTTGGCAAGTGGTGCAAGACTGAACGTATTTCTGCACAAAGCGATACATTCCTCGCCAGTGATAGCGTTGGCGCATCCTTTCGTAGGTTTTCAGGACACCTGCGTGAGCACTTTGGGGATCTGCATGGAAATTCATGCAGATGTCAGAGCGCATATGAGTTGGGACAGCAAGGAGCCACTTCGGACCACCAGGCATGTAGTTGCGGCGGTACAGAATGCTGTCTCGCACGGAAAAGTGGGCTGCTTGTCGGCATAGCGCTCTCGTGGAAGGGACAGCAGACGGATCGGTAAGGTAGTCGAGTAAGAATGCAAGGTATGGATCTTTACGCTGCTCCGAAAGCATGTCAGTGGTGTCTATTGGTGACAAGGTAGTAAAAAGTGGTGACAGAGAAGCCACATCTGGGGTTAATGGCGATCGCGAAAGTGCATCGGAATCCGCATGCTTGCGACCGGAACGATATACTACACGGATGTCGTATTCTTGTAATCGAAGTGCCCAACGTCCCAGGCGTCCGGATGGGTCTTTCAATGTGGACAGCCAACATAGAGCGTGGTGGTCTGTGACCACGTCGAAAGGGCGGCCGTAAAGGTACGGGCGAAACTTCGTCAAGGCCCAGATTATGGCCAAACACTCCTTCTCTGTCACGGAGTAATTCAATTCAGCCTTCTTGAGAGCGCGACTTGCATAGGCGACTACGTATTCGGCTTGGGTGCCTTTCCTTTATGCCAAAACTGCACCAAGACCGATTCCACTTGCATCGGTGTGAATTTCTGTGGGAGCAGCGGGGTCGTAGTGACGAAGAATGGGTGGTGAGGTCAGCAGGCGGCGCAGCTGGCGAAATGCGTCGTCACATGCAGGTGACCATGCAGATATACCTTTGCTGTTGGAAAGCAGACTCGTGAGAGGTGCGATGATGGACGCGAAGTTGCGCACGAAGCGACGAAAGTAGGAGCAGAGACCGACGAAACTTCTTAGGGCTTTCAGTGATGTGGGCAATGGGAAGTCAGCGACAGCCCGAAGCTTATCGGGGTCCGGAAGAACACCGTCTCTTGTGATGACATGTCCCAAGATGGTTAGTTTTCGTGCTGCGAAGTGGCACTTCTTGGAGTTAAGTTGTAGGCCCGCAGAAGTTAGACACGTCAGAATCTCGTGGAGGCGAACAAGATGTGTCGGGAAATCAGACGAAAAGACTACGATGTCGTCCAGGTAACACAAGCAAGTTTTCCACTTATGGGCACGCAAGATGGTATCGATCATGCGCTCAAATGTGGCAGGTGCGTTGCAGAGCCCAAATGGCATCACTTTGAACTCATATAGGCCATCTGGCGTTACAAAGGCTGTTTTAGGGCGATCACATTCAGCCATTGGCACCTGCCAATACCCAGAACGCAGATCCAAGGATGTAAAGTACTCGGCGCCTTGTAAACAGTCAAGAGCATCGTCTATTCGTGGTAGCGGGTAGACATCTTTCTTCGTAATCTTGTTTAAGCAACGATAGTCCACGCAAAATCGAACGGTGCCATCTTTTTTCTTTACCAGAACGACAGGTGATGACCAAGCGCTTTGAGAAGGCTGTATGACTCCACGTTTAAGCATGTCGTCTACTTGCTCCGTAATGACGCGGCGCTCTTCGGCGGAAACGCGGTAAGGACGCTGTCGCAGAGGCGAATGTGAGCCAGTGTCAATAGTATGAGTGATAGTCGTGGTGCGGCCCAAAGCAGGTTCTTGAAAGTCGAAAGAAGAGCGAAACTTGTTAAGGAGAGCAACAAGTTGGTGGCGATGCGAGAGGGGAAGGTCTGCGTCAATAGCATTGTCAAAGGCTGACAAACTTGATGGCTCAGACGCATGAGTTATTGCGGCAATGTGACATGGCGTTTCGTCGGGAAGAATAATATCGATATGGTCGACAGGTTGCACATATCCCAACGTTTCCCCACGAAGTAAGCCAATGGGGTAGTTGCAGTGGTTGGTAACCAGCATTACGGTTAAACCAGATGCAATTGTAAGAACGGCAAATGGGAGAACGATGCCCTTGCGTTCAGTAAAAACAGGAGATGGCGTAAACACCACCATGGCGTCAGGTTGCGCCACACATGAAAGGCTTACAGGGACCGAAGCTTCCGGGGGCAAGGTGATGTCGTCGTCAGCGATGAGTTTGCAGAGCCGAGGAGACCGGTCGGGTGGTGGAAATTCATATGTTGGCACAAGGGACACTTCGGCACGGGAACAATCGATGATAGCTTCATGACCTGATAAGAAATCCCAACCGAGGATAAGGTCATGAGAGCAAGATGGCAGAACAAAAAACTGTACGACGTACAAAACGTCTTGGATGACGACGCGCTCCGTACACAGAGCCGAGGGATGAATGCGTTGCGCGCTAGCCGTGGACAGCACCATGCCACAAAGAGATGTGGTCACTTTCTTCAGTTTCCGACAAAATTTGGCGTCCATCACAGAAACGGCGGCCCCGGTATCAATTAACGCTAATGTGGCGACTCCCTCAACATCGACATCAACAACATTTTTCGGCGAAAACGGAGGCCTTGGGAATTGCGCACAAGTTGCAGTTCTTGCCTCCGGAACTGCACTGATTAGTTTCCCTCCTCAGGAGGTGGTCGACGACGCATAGGCGATGGCGACCGGCGACGAGGGGATGGGAAACGAGCAGTCGATGGCCGGCGATCCGAGTCTGTGTGCCTCTGTTCATATGCAGATGTGGTGGCCTGCTGCGGCGCGTAGGTAGGAATTCCGAAGTATGCGTTTGCAGGTGTGGGGCGACGGCGGCAGAAGCGTGCAATGTGGCCAGCGATGCCACAGGCGAAGCAGATAGGACGATTGTCTTGGGTGCGCCACTCATTAGATCGACGGAAAAAGCGAGGTGAGGGCCTGTAAACTGGAGGCGAGGCCGGAGGAGGTGGAGCTGATAAGGCGACTGGATGCGGTGGGGGCCGCGCGACCACAGCTGCGTAGCTGAGAGGTGAAGGTGGTGCAGGTGGTGCGTAGCCGACAGCTGAGAGATTAGGTGCTACTGAAGTGCATGGGTAAGGGGCCTGCACTGTAGGGAGGACATCACAAATTTCCGTGCGTATGGCCTGCTGCAGTGTCGTAGGCAGGCTTGCGGTGGGCGCGTCGCTATGCGGCAGCAGGGAGAGCTGTCGGGCGACTTCCTCCCTGATGAAGTCTTTGATCTGGTTGGACAGACTTTCTTGGCAAACATTGGCATTTGCGAGTGCGACGGCCGAGATCGAATCCGGCGGTGGGACACTCTGGCGATGGAACGCTGACGGTGCAATTCATCAAAGCTCTGGCAGAGGCTTACGAGGATTGCCACCGTGTTCGGGCTTTTCGCTAGCAACATCTGGAATGCACCATCCTCGATGCCCTTGAGAATCTGCCGAATTTTCTCTTCTTCGGGCATAGATGGATTCACACGCCTGCAGAGGTCGAGCACGTCCTCTATGTAACTAGTAAATGTCTCGCCAGGCTGCTGGGCTCAGTGGCGCAGGCGCTGGTCAGCGCGGAGCTTGCGGACCTCTGGTCGGCCGAACGCTTCAGTGACGAGTGTCTTAAAGGAGGACCAGTTGGCGATGGCGGTTTCGCGGTTCGTAAACCAGAGTTTAGCTACGTCTGCCAAGTAAAAGATAACGTAGGCGAGCTTAGAGTCGTTGTCCCACTTGTTGCTGGCGCTTACGCGTTCGTACAAGGAGAGCCAGTCTTCGACGTCTTGCTCACCACTGCCGCTGAAGATTGGTGGGTCGCGTTGGCGAGTAGCGCCGGGGCAGGTAGACGGGACAGCCGGTGGTGCTGGCTGGGCTGGGATGGGCTGGTCGGCGACTGCGTCAGTCATGTTTTGCAGTGGTCTCTCGGGCAACTTGCGAGAGCGGAGCTCCAGGTCTGCTTGGGGATCTCAGCAGCCTCCACCAAATGTGATGACGTTTATTGAACCGGAGAAGTCGCAACGATGTCGCAACGAAAAATGGCCGTACGACAAGTCTGGCAAAAGGCGGCTCAGGTTCTCGTGCAATCAGAGCACGGGGTTTTTCCTTCTCTTTGGAAGGCGCATACACGTTAGTGCGTATGCTCCACTACATCAGTAACAAAATCAACGACAAAATACTGCTGCTACCTTGCTATTTGTATGAGAAGGGACCCCAGAAAAGGTAGCCTTTATCTTGCATTCCTTGAAGTACACACGTATGACAAGTATGAAGAGCAAATTGCAACCGAAGTGCGAATCATGGTTCCTATCATGTTGCAGAAATAGTCACGCTCTTTTTTGGGCGACACATGAATTTATGTAGGTTTTTGAAAAACCTGCGATACGATGGCGACGAATGACCCTCACTACAGCCGTCGCGACAGTGAATCCTTTAGTCGTCGACCAAAAATCACGTCAATGTGATTGGGTCTTAAAGTTTCGTATTTGCAGGAAGCGACCGTTGGTTGGCACGGACAGATTCATGACCGTCGCTTACTACGTGCTTGTCAGCTGCAATGTCTTTACACTCGCACCGTTCGTGAACCCCCTATGAATGGGGTTCACGAATGAACAGTGGTGCATGAATAATTTTATAAAATTCACAACATACCACGGAATGAATAGTAATGAACGGGGGGTAGGGCAAAGCGTTTCTCCATTTGTCCATGCTTCCGTTCGTCTGTCTGCTTGTCTGTCGGTCTGTTCGTCTGTCAACCATACGAAATCATCAGCATTTCGAAAACCACTGACACCATCTAGTGATATTATTTCCCAAGATTCGGACGACTGAAGTTAGGGGTGCGTTTATTATGCAAGTGCGTTCATTACACGAGTAAGTACGGTATACCTTTTCACAGGAAAACTTTTGTTCTCACCCACAGAGTCGGACTCTACAAGACACCTTTTTCTGCTCCAACACCTCTCTTAGCCGCATCACAACTTCAACGGAAGGAGCCCAGAAGCTTCTGTGCACGATCTCGTTTGACGGTGGCATCACGTTCCGGGACCCGTCGACCGGTCTCTTGTTCCGGTGCCTCGAGGGAGTCGTGCAGCCTCCGTGCTACATCTCCATCAACAATGGCACGGTCTATACGTCTTCATCGGATCGCACGATACGAATCCACGAGCTTCGGGTGAGCCTGTGGCATTTGTCGTTACAGAATCGGTCAGTCTTCGGCACTATGTTGGTCGGGATTGCAACTACTGATATCTGATTAAATCTGTTTGATACAGTGGTGGTTGATGTCAGTTTTCGTGGGCACGAATTTCAAAGCAGTGCTTGTCATAGTGCATGAAGTGTCAAGCATTCTGTTTTCATGCAATTGCAATGCTTTTTGGGGTTGCAGTAAATGACATTAGTTCGTGAGCGAATCGGAAACGTTCGACCCAAAATCAGTGGAAAAACACGAAAGGACAGAATGAATTCGTGTGGAATTGGCACAAGAATCCCTCGACTTGCATGGCTGAAATGGATGCCATCCTGAGATGAAAAGGCACTGAACAAGTAACAGTAAAACATCATTAATTCAAAGTTACTGGGACCGTGAGAAATCTTCCAAGTAACGAAATATGCAAAAAGTTGGATGCAAGTGACTTGAAATTATTCAAAGTAATCAGGGCTGGTCGTTTGCCGTGCCAGCTAGTTTAAGGCTCCAAGGGTTATGTTTTCTAGCAATACCTGGTCGCAATTTTGATGCATACAAGGGGGAATTTTGGGCCATGCTGCTGCCACAGAAAAAGAATAAAAAGATGTGGTCAACTGAAGTGCGTGCTTGCGTAGAACTAGACATCTTCACTGCAACACAGTAGGGACACGTGGGCAGCACATTGATTGCTTTTTGCTGTCAGGACGTCATGATGCGACCATTCGCCCATTCTTTTAGCAAAATAAATAATACCATAATAGCTCGCATAATTTGCACATTTTTTTTCGTGATTTTGGGGCTTCGAGAAGGGGGTATACTGATTCGCGTTTTACTGAATCGCCTTTTTACTGATTGATCAATTTATTGATATGTGGGGTTTAACATCCCAAAACCACCTTATGATTATGAGAGACGCTGTAGTGGAGGGCTCCGGAAATTTAGACTACCTGGGGTTCTTTAACTAACGTCCAAATCTGAGCACACGGGTCTACAGCATTTTTGCCATCATTGAAAATGCAGCCCTCGCAGCCGAGATTCGATCCCGTGACATGCGGGTCTGGAGCATAATGGGTAGTGTGACTAGTTCACAATGTGTTTGGCTGAAAAACTTCACCATTGAAACTTTTGAACTGAGTTTTTGATGTAGGTGTGGCAGGCAAGAACTCCACTAGCAGTGCAAGTATGCAAATTGCTGGAGCGACCGGCTTCGGGAGGTTCGCGTACATCGCGAATTCCGCCAGACTGTTCTTCATTAATTTCTTTGAATTCCCAGAAAGAATGGTTAAATCATGACACGCCAACACACTGACATTGCAAGAAGCATGAAACTACTGCCGTGTTGCAGTGAAGCATGTCTTGTTTTCTGCAGGCGCACACTTCAGTTCATCCGAAAATCTTTCTTTATATATATCATTTTATTTTTAGTGCTGGAAGTAGCGATGCGGGGTGCTACAGCTGCCACTTATTAGAATCGCTGTGTTGCATTATCTTAAAGGGGTACTGACACAGAATTTCGGGGCTGAGATGGCCTGCGGGCTCAATTCTCGTGAACATTCATATATCATCATATTGTAAGATATTTAGCGCAACTTCGACTTTCGCGAGCACTCACACAATCACTCACACAACCACCCGAGTAACACACACAGCATACAGTGTGTGTTACTCAGGTGGTTGTGTGAGTGATTGTGTGAGTGTTTGCAAAAGTCGAGGTTGCGCTAAATATCTTACAATATGACGAATAACCAACCTGCCCCAAAACAAGTTTTATTTGTATATCATCTGTAAGATATCAACAGTGAGTATAGCTCAGAAGGTTTTTGAAGCTCAGAAGAATTTTGAAGTTTGCGTGAGCGACCAACTCCATAGCGCTATAGGCACCCTCGGAGGTGACCCCGAGGTGACCCCCTACTTCCCTCACGTCACCATGCTGCGGTCAACAAAACAAGTGATGATGACGTCATAGCCGCCATTTTTCTTTTGCCGCGTTAGTTCCCGGAGTCTATATTTCTCAGCGGCTGGTTGTGAGTGCGTGGTCGTGGCGCACGCTTAGAAAGTTTTGTGTTTGGCAACATTCCAGAGCCGTTTCCTGTTCGAAAGTAATTCTTGATGAGGATCGTGTAAAAGTGTGTCACAGTTCTGTGTGCTGATGTGGTCAAGAGTTGCACACGCTAGGTGGCGACAGTTGCACCCAGTTTGTGGAACTCTCTCAAACCGAAACTGAAACTGATCGATAATGACGGGTTTGTAATTAATTATTTATCACGTGCTGCAAGCGAACAATGAGTCGTGTCATGACTAAAAGCCCTACAGCAGCGCATTGCAGCATAAAAACACGAGGTCAAATTTTTTGTGTCAGTACCCCTTTAAGAGTCTTTAGCAGGCCGTCGTTTTCACGGATTTGCAGCGAAATTGGGATGGGAATTGGCACATTGCACCCAAAGTTAACGAATTAGCCTGACTAGTGTGGACCACCGCTTCAAATTATTAGCTCAAACTTACATTGCAAAATATGGGACTCTAGAAATACTTCAAATTAAGCATGATTTCAAGATAACCGGGTTTGAAATAACAAGGTTTTACTGTATTTACCGCTCGGGTGCGTAAACACAAAATGCAGCATGGTTGGAACGTGACATCTTACTACTCGGTATAGCGATTGAGATTGTTGCTGCATCAATGCCCATTGGTAAACAGATTTGAAAGAATGCAATGCCAAAGCTTCGTCTCTTACGGCATCATTTTATTGGGAAGGGACATGGAGTATTGGTTTACTTTTCTTGTTTTTACTTATTTAACGGCTGAGTCCATGATCTCGCGCAATACAGAGAAAAGGGTTGTAGAATCTTTTGTTTTTCTGTTGTCATTCTCTTGTGACCAGACGGGCATCCTCCAGAAGGTGTACGAATGCCGAAGTGCTGCCACGGGCCTGCGTTACCACAAAGGCCTCATCGTGTGCTGCTCCTTCGACGGCCTGATACGTTGCTACAAAACGAAGGTGAGCAACTGCGGCCGCACTAGATATGCCAGACGTGTGCACGGAAAACTAATGCGAAGGCTCTGCAGAAAATATAAGCGGACCGCTATGCCAAACGTTTTGCCGCATCATTCGAGTCTAGGCACTGTGTTGACACAGTGAGGCGTGCGAGTCCACCGCTTCGCATCAGTTTGCCTGAGAAGCAGTGCGTATACAAAGAACGTCGACGAAAGCAGAAGTATCGGTGCGCCTGTCAGCCCTGTTGGTCATCCACATTCACAGAGCGTAACAGCTGTAACTCTATTCTCTTGCTTTATGCATTAGGGCACAGGTCGCCAACGCACGGCCCGCGGACCTCTTGGAAGCGGTCTGCTGTGCCCGCGACAGTCATCGTCCTAGCCATGACTTGTTCCAAGCATTTTTTTTTTCATGAGGCACTCCAAGCAGCCACCTTGTGTTAAAACATAAGCATCAAACAAAAGTTCTTACGTTTCAGAATCGACACCGAGATTTCAGTCATTCCGAAGATGATATCAACATGCTTTGCAAAACGTGGCGGGAAATCCCTTCAGAAACGACCCATATAACTGTTATGCAAGTGGACTTCTTTCAGATGGCAACATTGGCTGACATTTTGTTCGACCCCCCTCTCCACTCGCTCCAACCTTTGTCTCCACCGCTGCGAGAGGCAGTATCGAGACTGCTGCCCGCTAGCTGAGGGGTGTTCCCGGCTGCTGCATTTGGTGGTCGGCTTGAAATGAGAACTAGCTTGGATTCGAGTAAATATGGTACTCAGCTGATTGAGGAGGCCCAGAAATATCTCTTTCTTTCAATACTGTAAAGACAGTCCAATCGAGAGGCAAGACAGTTCATCACTGAACACACTCAAACCTGGATGTAACAAAGCATTGGTTATAACGAAGTAAGTAAAGAATAGTCTTGCAATAGCTATTGCTTTAGGAAAACAGTTAAACCCTTTTATAAAAGGCATGCTCCGGGCAGCAATTCTTGTCTTTTATGTAAGATGTCTCTTATAAGCTAGGTACTTCATAAGCATATTCTTATCAACTCGTACCTAACTGTAGGCACACTGGTGTTTTTTATGCCCATTTGTCTGTTATATGAGTATCTCTAATAAAGAGGTTTGACTGTATACCTTTATAACGTATTTTCACATATAACAAACTTACGAAGTGCAAGATGCAACTCCGTTGTAATGAGGTTTGAGTGCAACTGCAGATAGGCAGTTGTAACGGTGGCATCCCTTATTAGCTGTGGCAGCCAGAAGTAAGTGAACTGTTTGTAATCAAGTAACAAAGGGCTTGATTAGCAAACGCCTTTTTTTTTGTGCCTAACATGTTGGAACTCTCACTCCTCTTCTTCTGAAGGACTTCTCGTGCGAAGTGGTCTACTATGGTGCAGGCAAGAACATGGTTATGAGCATGGACGTCTGTGGCCCTCTGGTGAGTGTGTTTGTATAAATAAATGCTGCTGGCCACATTGACAATTGTTGCACCTAACTGCCTGGAATGCAGCTGTAGTTGAAGCATAACGATACTAGTCTTAACTATTTAGCATCGATGTAATAATGAGTAGCAGCCACTTGGTGAACTTTTGTGTTATTTTATTTATTCATTTACTTGTTTATTTACAACATGCTGCAGATAAAAGTCCAAGCATGAAAAGATAAACAAAAACTAATTAGCAAAATAAGTTCAATAAAACAAGCATGGTGAAGTGATAGGACTCTGTATAGCAAATGAATAGCTGAATGACGGAGAGATTGCAGAGCATAATTAGGCAAACTTATCAATGTGAGGCATTCACAATAAGCTTGTTTTGTATGTTTTCTAACATAAGGACATAAAGCCATCAAAGTCAGGAAAGTTATTCACTCGAAATGCGGCAAGAGGGCATGTGTATCATTCACTGATGGCCTGAAAAAAAAAAAACAGTTTATGAACATACTATTACTTGCAAAGTAAAGCATGTGTATGCCTCGCTTGTCTAAAATTTCAGTGCCTTGAGTAAGTTCCTGGAGTAAAATTTCCGAGAATAAATTTTGCAGTGAAACAAACTGCTCACTAAAATGTTCCCAATGCCGCATAAGTAGTTTTAACAATTACGGCAGAGTCCTGGATGTTTGCAAGGAAACAAAAAAAAAAAAAGCTCTGCAGACAAAACAATAACCACAATCAACGAAATCACAAGTATTCCACGCACACTTTAAAGCATGTGCATGCCCTGTGCACATGGAGTTTTAATGAAAACTTTTGCTTTTTGTGGTCACTGCAGCTGCTCCCAAAATTTTGTAACGGTGTAATAATGGATGACAACCAGTTGACTCTGAATGCAAGAGTGAACATGGTGTTAGGTACAATACTACATGTGCCACACATGTCTGAACTTCCGAAATGGAGAGAGGGGAAACACGAGTGCTCAGTGTTCCAAGACGGTCTCAAGTCAGGTCAAGTTTATTGAAACAGCCACGGTTTGGTTTCATTGTAATGACATTAAAGCAGGAGGCCCCTTGGCTTTGGAAAGACTGCTTCCTTCTGTGCGTAAGATTCCCGTGCTGTTTAGGTATGGCAGTGGGGCTTATTGAAAGAAATATAATGCATTCATAGAAATGCAGAGAGCTGTATTGGTTTGAAAAAGACAGGCCGTACAAACATGGACTGAAGAAGGAAGTAAGGACCATGAACACCTACTAACAACTGAAGGTGCGCTCGAACGGCGGAAAAATTAAGTTTTCGTGCCTTCTCTTTCATCATTCGTCCATGTTTGTACGACCTGTCTTTTTCAGGATGGATAACACTTTCAGCTTGACGTGAACATTCGCGACCTGCGTGGCTGCTCTGTTGTGCACTTCTTTGTAATGTGTTTTATGCCTGGATGTGTGACGCAGCTTGCTTGTTCTTGCTTTCTTGCGGCAACTGCAGATTGCCACTGGCAACCGCAAGGGCAAGATTGAGGTGATCAAGTTTGACAAGTCAAGCCTACAGACTTGTGAGGTAAAGTAGAGCGTACCATTAGGAAATTAAATGGGAAACAGCCTCATAAAAGGATTGCTTAGGTTTGTTGGTGGGCTGGTTGGTTCTGATTGATAGTAATTAAATATAAGCACATAAAAGCTTCAGATTGTGACACACACCACACACACAATGTGCGTAATGTGTATAAAAGTGGGTGTGTCAGAAAGAAAGATATATTCAGAAAAATTATCATGTAGTCAGTTCTGTGCTGAGCCTATGAGATTATAGTACCAGTATATAGTTTGACAAACCCATTCTGTGATCTCTGTATCTTCCACTAATAACATTGACTGTGCTGCCCTGCTACCAGGCATGAGCGTGTGGGCTCAAATTCCCAGCCATGGCAGCCTCTTTCATTTGGGTGGAAATAATATACGATTGCACTTTAAGGGGGGTCTCTCGAACACTGTAGTAGAGTGCTTATCTGAGTATTATCTGAGCAGTTAGGCAACAACTGAAGTGACAGACATGGCATTAATGGAACGATAGGAAATCAAACACTAGCTTTGTTTCTTGCCATCATTTTTGTCCTCAACTTTGCTAAATGGTTGCACGCGAACGAAGGGAGAAAAAAAAAAGGACGGAGTAGACAGAGAACACTGGCAAAAGCAGTGTTCTTTCTGCCTACTTTGTCCTTTTTTTCTATGTTCATACGCTGAGAAAGCTTGATTTATTTATTTTTTTTTGCAGTCGTTTTATGTGAGAGGGGGAGGGGATGGGATGTAAAAGTTCACAAATCAAGCTTTGTATTTGTGCAGTTCATCTCTGCACCAACAGGGACCACGACTTAGCCAGCCACTTTAGTTACCTTGTTTGGCTCAAATACCAAAGAGTCAATCAGATCAATCACATGAGGGTTGTCACATCATGTGTTTCATCCCAGAGCCAGGAAAGGCTAGAAGCTTGAAAGTTGCACGGCCGTTATTCTTAGGGATGCTTATATTTATTGAGAATGTTATAAAAAACTATGCACTTTGTGCTTGGTACCTAATTAATCTATTAATGATCAAAAGGACGTTAGGTGCCAGCTATCTGGGATTGTACACAGTACTCAAAACAGGACCAGAGTTCCTTAAAGGGACACTAAAGGCAACTATTCAGTCAACTTTAATTGATTAAAAGGTGGTCCAGAAACCTCGTAGTGGTCCTTTTGTGTCAAGGAAGGGCTTATTTTAGTGGTCCAAATAGGGTTAGTTCAATTAGCTGTCCAAATCGGGTTATCGCACTTCAAATTACCCGCCTCAAAAAACGGAACGTGATCATCACTGTTGCCATGCGCAATGTTGCCTGGCTTTACTACGTGATCGCCGAAACTAGTAGACGGAACGAAAGCAGCGAAGCCACAGCAGCAACATTGACCATCGATCAATTTCCTGCTATTGGCTCCAAGACAGCAGGCGTATTTTGGTTCAACTGAGCCCCGCTAGTTGGCCTGACCTGTCCAATTTAACCAAATAAAAGTTGAATTTTCGAACCGCTCCCGCCATTCCCCATACAGTAAAAGCTCGTTAACTCAAATCTCACAGGACCGGAGAAAGTGTCCGAGTTAACCGAATTCTGAATTATCGAATGGACCATGAAAACAAAGGGAAAACGTACACGGCACAGACAAACCTTTATTTCTGAAAAAAGTACGTTATTTTTGCCTGCTTCACCATCGGAATTTCTGACAGAACGATCAGGTGGTGGTGAGCATGTTCACTGTCACGAGAACAAACGCAGAACTCCTTGAGGACAGCGAGGGCTTCGGCGGCCCCCTGCACGGTGTGGTGACGTCGCATCGGCTCATCCTGGCCGTCATCATCGGAACAGTGATCTTGGTCCTCCTCAAGCACTTCCAATAATATATCGTCAGTCAGCGGACCAGCAGCAGCAACATGATAGTCTATAGCGATGTAGTCTAAAATCTGGACCCACTAGGAAGAAGAGAGTCAAAACGCGTGTCATTCACCTCGTCGTCCATATTTTCAGTGGCCTCTGGAGGAATATTCGAGTCGTCAGGGCGGACAAAGCCGCTGTGCCGGAAAGAATTGCAGTGACCACGGGCGGCGTTTGCTCCAGACATAAGCCAAAATGTGAATTGCTGTCAGGAGAGTCATGTCATATTCTCACCCTGCTTCCTTACTCAGCAGGATCCGTTCGAGCACATGCTTTCTGTACCTGCTTTTTACATGCTGAATTATCCCTTGATCCAGTGGTTGCAGAGCAGCCGGCGTGTTAGCAGGTAGAAATACAAGTTCGATGCACTCCAGCCCTGTCACTCTGGTATGAGCACTGCAGTTGTCAACTAGAAGTAAAACCTTGCGCTTGTTAGCGGAGAAGCAGCGGTCGAGTTGGCGCAGCCAAGCTTGGAAAATATGCGAAGTCACCCGGGCCTTTCTGTTGGCGCGGTATTGCACAAAAAAGTGGTGAATGTTCTTAAAACACCTTGGGTTACGTGCCTTCCCGATGACTAGCAGTGGCAGGCGCTCGGTGCTTGATATATTTGAAGCGAGAAGCACAGTGATCCTTTCTTTGCTTCTCTTCCCTCCAATGCATGGGTCGCCCTTGAACGTGATCGTTTTGTCCGGCAAGGCTTTAAAAAAGAGAGCCGTTTCATCGACATTGAAGGTGTTGGCAGGCTCATAACGAGCCAGGTACTGGGGAAGCTCAGTTGTCTTCCAGTCAGCAATACGCCGTTCATTCACTGCTGCTTTTTCCCCGCACACGTTTCAAAAGACCAACCTGTGCCTTTCTCTAAAGAGGGCAAACCAGCCTTCAGACGCACTGAAAAATTCGATGTTCATTCTCAGTGCGTACCTTTCAGCTCGCTGACAGATCAACGGTTCACTCAAGGGAAGCTGGCTGTTCCGCATGTCTGTTATCCACCCCAGCAGTGCATCTTCCAGCTTCAGGTGTGCTGAAACGACCTTAGTCTTTAGTCGTTTTCGTTTTCTGGTGAAATTGCTGCTGTCAAACACCTCGAACATTTTTTCTTTGTTCTTCACGTAGTCGCTTAAGGTGCTTCTCTTAACATCGTACTTTTTCATTGTCTCTTGTCGAGAAACACCTGTGTTCACGTCTTTCAATATCATAACCTTTTTTTTTTTAAGATCATTTGCTGGCTGCTCTGGCCGCTTAACTCCAGTGACGGTCGCCATGAAGCGCGACGGCGGCGGCAACGCGCACAAACAGAGCCGCAACACACGAAGTCACAACACAAAGAACCAAGACACGAAGTACACCAATAGGCATAGCATGGGCGTAGCGAGCAGCTGTTAGTAGACACCGGATGCGCCGGTGGCCCAAGCGCTTCCGCCGGGTAGTGACCAGCGCCACCTAGCCACTTCCCTCCATGCACAATCATCATGGTCATATTCTGCTGCAGTTCGCTTTGTTTCAGTTTCTCCAAAACTTCGGTTCTGCCATCGGTTACGGCAAACGGTGCTTGAGCTTCCAAGCCGCTGAGATCGTGCGACTCTGGAGTCCCCATAGCCCTCTCCGAAGTTGTCCGAGATAACCGGTGCGCGGCTGAATCCCTCCGAATTAATGAGCATTTGACCTCATTGAAATATACCGTTTTGCCGGGACCGCGCCGCGAGTCCGAGTTAACGAAGTCCGGATAAACGAGCTTTTACATTAGTAACGTCTGGCGTTTTTTTTTTTTTCATAAATAGAAACAAACCAGCATCATTTTATTACGTCTCTTGATGCACGGAAGGTTCTTTATTCAATGCAGCTAGATCAATTACTCATGATTAATAGTAGGCGGTTCGTCTAACATCATCGGGATATGTTGAGAATATCTTACTGCAGTGCATGTATTCTTGTGCATTCATCTTAATTTCTCGATAAGTAGGGCACTGCTGTTGATAACATTGTCTGTTTAGATGTTGTCAGGCATTGAGCTTTCACTCTGATGTAAATTGTTATTTAACTTAGATGTCTCTTTAAGAACAACCCTATGACTGGCATGTTTAAGGGCAATTATGACATGCCACACATTCATATAGTGGCTTGCATGTAAAATTGCTTGACCTAGTTTCTTATTTTATGACACTCTAGACTTATTGTCATTGTTTATAAGGAGTACCTTTTTGTACCCGATTCGTTAGGCATAACTGCAACTTCGGTGTACATGATACACAGAATTCTCATGAGAGTAAGTTCTCATTGACAAGTGCTTGGGCTCTTTTTCTCTCAGATTCGTTCGTGCAACCTAAAGTTTGCGCGGGAGGAAGACTTGTTGCACCACCTGAAGCGCGAGCACATCGGCCTCGGCGCAAAGGGTGCCATGACGTGTCCGTGGAACCATTGCCAGATGACCTTTTCGGGACCCAACTGCAACAAGGTGTGTGCGCAGTGCAACCATTTGGATGGAAAGTGTATGCAAATCTGTGTACGCGATAGCACTCCTCGTGTGCTGGTAACCTCTGAAGAGGCCTTTGGCATGATTCACCAAGAATTAGCGGTTTTCAGCGAAAAATAGAAGTAATGGATGTGTTCTGCCTTTAGTATACAAACTATGGAACGTAAGAAAATATTTCACTGCAGAGTTAGTCATAGAAGTCGGCTATGAGCCTTGCCCCCCGCCGGCGAGCGCTATTTTTCCAGGGCACGTGTGACTTGAGTCGTCGTCTCGTATCAAGTTTCTGCTGTGCGAAACCACTCGGTTTCGTGGCTGAGCTGGACCAATAAATAGTTTGACTACATGCGCAGCTGAGCACGAAACGAAATCATTAGCCAGACTGCAAACACTCGCACAGCAAGCAGCTTGCTAAATCACAGCTCGCGAGTGCGCCAGTGTCGCCCGACTCTCAGGCCACTGGGGTAGTGATAAAAATTTTTGACTAAAAGCTAGAGGCTGCAGAAAACTAAATTTTTTTTCTGCTTGGTTGTGAAGGCACATGAATTAACCCTCATAACACAAATTTTAATTGAAAATTGGCTATCGGGGCCCCTTTAACAGAGAGAAAAAAAGCTGGCTCAGCCCCTCTCCTATACAGCGTGTCTTCTTTATTTACTTTTTTCTGTATTTACAATCATTTATAGTGCAGTAGTTAAACACATTTCCCTTCAGTTTGAAAAAAAAAAAGGCATTTCGGTTACAAAGAAACTGTGTTCCAAGAAATGTGCAGTGGTATTCTCTTTCTCCCATTCTGTTCTTTCTTGTACCACATTCATTGCAACCAGTGGCCAACTCCTGGAACGGGCCTACCATGGTAACTTAGCAGCTATGGCATTGTGGAGTTAGTTTCTTTTTCACAGCTCCGATAATTTAGAGGTATGAAATGTAGAAATGCCCACATTTGAAGATATGCGGGCTTATTCGAACACCCAGGCAGACAAAATTAATGTCGTGTCGATCAACTACCGCTTGAGTTGTAATCGTATTATGGTTTCGCCACATAAACTATGTAATCGAATATAAGTATGTTCAAGAACAGACTCGCTGTCTAGATTTCACAGTTGTGTCCCCACCCGCGCCAACAAGAGCTCTCACTGAGTGGGGCCGCGTCCTCGGACTCCTGTGGCCGCGTCCTCGGACTCCTGTGGCCGTGTCCATCTTTCCTATCTTCTCCTTGCTTCTTGATGTCGCTGTCCCTGCGCCACGCTCTCTCCTTCCCCCTCTCTATCTCTATACCTTTTAATGCTCTCCTTTTAATCCCTCCTTACCCCCATCCCTCGTGAGCTACTGTTGAGGTGTCGCACTCTGATGCGGACAATTACAAGGCTCATTTTTATCTTCTTTTCTCTTCTAAGAATTGCATAAGAAAAAGTTTCGTTGTTTACGCTACTGATTAAACCAGAAAAAAAAAGTTGTTGCAAATTCATTATTTACATCAACTAGTAATAAAACGGAAAAGAGATTAAGAGAACTGTTTTACATTAAAATCTTGTTGATAGAAGTATGCATGGTGATACGTTTTTTTGGATGATTGATATATTACTTCTTTTGCCTGATTAATGCCCCAAGTAAACAATGCATGTTATTTACATATGATTAACTCAATGGCATTTTCTTCTAAAATTGGATAGTGTCAAATGCAGAAGTGGGCTTTTACTGGTGGGCTTTTGAAAGTCACAGTGCTACCATGGAACATTCCAGCGATTTATAAACGCGGTGCGTACACGGCTGGTTTACATAATGTGTTGCCTCCTGAGAAGTATGATTTTATGTTGGCAAGCCTTTGCTATTGAAGCATTCGCTAACTGTAGGCCAATACAACCTAGAATAAACACAAGCTCCATCCCAAAAAACAGGAGCACACTTGCTGATGACCCTAGTAAGATAGTTTTTGCAAAGCAGTTTCCTCTCACAGCCCAACTTCTGCGCTATATCATGTCTATGTTGTGCTCTGCTGTGCATGTCTAAAACTAATGGTTCATAATTCCTGCCTGAAGTGTGGCCATCTGCAAAGCGGTTAGGTCAGAATCTCTGCGCAAGTGTGTCGGGATCTTCTAGTATTGTAATTAAAACCAGTAACACAAGCATCTACGGTAGAACCTCGATTATACGACTTTCAGGGGACTACACAAAACCGTTGTATAATCTGGGCGTCGCATACACTCTGTGCACTGCGACTGGCTGCGCCACACGCGACCATCGGTGCAGACAGTTGTTGAGAACCCGAGCAAAACCACACGTGCTCCAAACGCCCGCTAGCATGCAGTTTATTGGATAATTTATTGTATTGTAAAATAGTAAGTGGATCACAGCTGTTCAACGTATTGAGTGTTTGATTCCCGCTGCCTCTGCCGTCTCGCGTTCTGCTGCTGCATGCTTGAATTGGCAGAGACACCACCGCTTCAGGAATGTGATCTTGCACCTTGCAAGTGGGCAGTGTTCTGGCTGCCGTAGAGGTGGTGAGAAAAGAAACGTATGCAAGGCATTTCAATTCAGCTCAAGGCTGATGGAACATATTAGTGGACCTTAATAATTAACTTGTCACTTACCCTTCACAGTTTTGGGGAATGGAATGTGAGGCCAGTGAGTGCTTTGCTGGGTTGATAGCACCATCACTTAAGGGGCAGACTGTAGTGCAATTTGATACACTCAAACCTCGTTAATACGTAGTTCGCCGGGAACGACGTTTAGGTACACACTAAGTGATCTGCGAATTAACTGTCAGTGCCAGTTTAGAGGCTACTTACCGGTCAAAAAAGATTGCCACAATCCTCACAAACACGCACGCACACACACACGCAGGCACGCAAGCTTTATTTAGAGACGAGCAGCAAAAAATCTGTGACCTTCACTTGCCACTGTGGTGGCCTTGCGGCAACGACGGCATCTTCGAAGTCGGTAAGGCCACGAGCCAGCTGGTCCATTAGGCCATGTTTTTGGGCAAAGGCTCGCATCACAGTTACAGCACGCGCAGCTTCGGATAACGAGAGGCTGTCGTCCACTTCGACATCGCTCTCCTTCTCACTTTCGCTTAAATCAGGACGAAGTGCGACGGCGGCAACAATGACGCTGTCGGAAAAGTCCGGAGATGTAACGACGTCTCCGTCCAACATCTCCGTCTCCTTCCACATCTCGGAAAGTGCTGAAGTTCGACTTTTTGACTCCCTCTCTTTTCCACTCGAGCACCTCAACAAGGAGGCTTTCGCAGTCTTCGGTGTCCTCACCATCCTCTTTTTCGCCAATGCCTCCTTCTGGATCTTGAACCGTGCTCGCGCGATACAGTTCCGCATCGTTGCAGATTGTACTTGCATCTATGAGCAGGTGTATAGTACCCAGGAGGTCTATCCTGTACGTTTTGTCGCTCTCCATGGCAATCAACATCCTCCGCAACAGATTTTTGCGGTGAATCTGCGTGACAGAGCGGATGATACTCTGATCGAGGGGTTGGACGAGCGCTGTCGTGTTGGGCGGCGAAAGCAACAGCCTAATAGCCGACAGGTTATCCACATTGACATGCACCGACGCATTGTCGAGTACTAACAGTATGCTCCTTTTTTTGGCAGCAAAACGGCAGTCCAGCTGGTGCACGTACTTCTCGAACAGCTGTGCTGTCATCCAGGCTTTTTTGTTGTGCTTGTAAACAATGTCGGATGGCAGCCGAGTGCCTTTGAAGCACCGCGAGTTTCCATACTGCCAATGACTATCAGTGGCAGCTTCTCACTACCAGTCATATTTACGCCGAAAGTGACCGATACGCAATTTTCGGCATGTTTCCCACCACTGCACTTCTCGTTCTTGAATCCCAATGTCCTGTTTGGAAGCAGGCAATAGAAAAGTGCCGACTCACCATATTGAAAATGTTGGCGGTATCATAGGCTGTCGAGGCTTCCTGTGAAACGATGTCCTGCCATTCAATAGCGCCTTCTTTGTCTGCTGCAGTAGCCTCACTACAAACAGCTTTCCCCACGATGCCGTAGCGGGCTTTAAACCATGACAACCAGCCGTCGCTGCAGGCGAAACCGGGGCAGTTCAGCTGATCTGCAAAAGTTTGTGCTTTTTCGGTTAAAAGAGGTCCGCTAACGAACAGCTTCATGCTCCGCGCCTTTTTCAGCCAAAGAAGCAGGGCCTTTTCTACTTCGGGATAAGCAGAGTCTCTGACGCGGCACCTCTTCGAATTGCTGCCTGTGGCGCCCGTCAACTTTTGGCGAGCGTTCCCAATTCTGCACACATTCGTCAGCACCTAGTTCTTTTCGCCGGCTACCGCAGATTTCTTGGCCCCATTTTCATTAGTGCGAATGATTTCAAGTTTTTCTTTTACCCTCATGACGTGGTACTTCGGCATAATATGACGTGTGCAAATTCAATGGCACCCCTCGTGCACAACACAAGAAAAAAAAAAAGCGACACACCGCATAAGAAGAACCTATGTAACGCAACACCACCACACAGCCGAGACGACCAACATTGCGGAAAAGTGAGGACTAAAAACCGAATAAAGAAACGGGTTCAGCCTGGCTCCGCGCTGTTGAGCCATTAATAATACGTACTTTGCTTGGATTGGAAAGCGACAGCAAATTCGCACCCCCTACTGAGAGCAGCGACCGAGAGTTTCTGGGTTACCAAAAATCGATCTTGAAGGCCCTGCTTTTGCACAATGCGATCGTTAACAGCCGTACGCGCAGAAAATATGTCAATGTGGCCATGTTTTGACGTCACTATCGCTGGCTGTTGTAGTCCCATCGTCACAGCTAGTGTATCGAACATGTGTGCGCACAAAAATTTTGCCGATATCTGCCTGTGCATGAATGAAAGAGAAGGAAAATAGTACGTACTAACCGTATGTAACACCACAAGCGACTACGGCTTAAGGGGGCACACAGGTCTTTAAAGCTGAAAAATTGCCCAAAAACGCATTTTTTTTTAGATGTCATTTTTGAAATCTA